TGTATTGTGTGTGTCCATCACCTATTAAAAAAAAACAAAACAGAGATGGGGCTTCCATGCATGACGTATTTGCAGACGGCCTCCCGTGAGACGTGCCTGCTGTCACTTTTACCATCTCCCTTTCCAAGTGCCTGTGAGCCAGACCCGCAGGACACCACCCACCCCCCACCTCAGCAGGACAGTCCTCATCCCTGTCCCCTGCTCCTCGCCTTCTCTCCCTTCAGTGGAGCCTGGTGGAGCCCACCGCCTGCCGGGAGCCCTCCCAGCGTACCAGGAACATTGGCCTCACTCATCTTTGTCGACGTGGCTCCTTTGGCTCCGCGGAGAGCAGAGGCACCATAAGCAGGGAAAAGCAGACTGGATCTGGAAGGTCCAGGTTCAAGCGTGGCTCTGCTGGGTCTGAGCCGCAGGCTCCCACCTCACCAGTGGTTGCCAGGATCCCACAGGGAATCACCCTCTGCACAGACATCACCGTACCCACCTCCCCAAGCAGAGACGCTCCCTAAAGGGCCAGAGTGGTCCCATCCTTGTAGCAGCCCCCATGCAGGATGCTTGGCATACAGCAGGTGCTCAGTGGAGAGGAAGAGATCAGTGGGGTAGGCAGAGCTCCTGCCTGTCCCCAAGCCAGGGAGGCCGGGGAAGGTCCATCCCAGTTCGGGGCAGGAGGTGGCCACCTGGAAGTGGCTTTTCAAACGCCGTCTGTCCCCACCAGATGTCAGCTGGGCTTGTTTTTAGCAACAAACAGCCAATATCTCACCTAGATAATTTGCTTTGCAAAAAATACAAAATAATGACATTCCCTTTATATCTGTTAGTAGTTGCTCTATGTATTTAGGTGCTCCTACACTGGATATTAACAAGTGTAATATCTTCATCTTGTATTACTCCTTTAATCATTGTAAAATGTTCTTCTTTATCTTTCTTTATGGCCTTTGTTTTAAAGTCTATTTTGTCTGAAATCAGTGTTACAACTCAATTAAGAAAAATACAAAATAAGCCCACCGCATTAAAGGAATCTTCAGGAAGGCTTGCAGATCAGTCTAAAGTCAAACCTGGTGAGTACCTCCGTGCTCATCTAATTCGCCCATTTTACAGATGGGGCTTGTGGTGGGGCAGGCAGGGCAAGGAACTTGCCACAAGCCCATGGCCAGAGCTCTGAGTCCTCAGAGGGAAGTCGGGGACCCAGAAGGATGCTGTTGGTCAGGATAAGTTAGGACAGGCCGTGTGTAACCCCCAGACTTCAGTGACTCATGAAAGACCTTTGTACACCACACCCCCGTCTCTGTTCTACTCCATCTTCACGCCGGGACCCAGGCACGTGGACCAGTCTCTCCTGGGCCAGAGGGAGCGGGCCAGTGAGTCACACGCGGGCTTTTTGTCTGCCTTGGGACAAAGGCCACCTCAACCTGCTTTCCGCTGACCATGCCCGAGCACAAGAGTGGTAGAATGCCATCCTACTGCACAGAGAGGGGAGGGAACACGGACTTTGGGGCAAGGAGATGTCCACTATAGCAGAGAGGCTCAGCCTGACCACCGCTGGTGTGTCAGGACGGGAAGCCGCGTTCAGATGCAAGAATTCATACATGTTCTGAAAACAAACAAACAAAAAAACTCAAAAGAAATACAGCAGAGAAAAGTGAATCAAAGTAAAGAACTCGGGAACAGGTACATAAGACACAGCTGAGCAATGAAGCTCCCAAGAGGGCGTCAGCCAAAATCTTCTGTGATAATGTGACGGAAGTTCAATGTCACCATTTCAAGATTCTTGAGACAGAAGCATGTGTGGGAAGTTTGTAATTCTGAAGCTGTATTCTGGGTGATTCCAGCAAAGCCCAGGAGACAGAGAACGTCCATACACGTGCACTTGTAAGAATAAGGGTGGAAATCTGATGTTCTGCCGAGTTTCTTCTTGTTCAGAGGGAAACTGAAATCCACTGATAACACAGAATCAAGACGCTGAATGTTAAACTGACTGCAGGGAAAAATTTCGATCAAGAGAATAATGATGAAGGCAAAAAAAAAAAAGAACCAATTAGAAAACAATAGGAAAATGAACTAAATTGAAACAGTAATCACAAACAAGAAGTTAAATTCACCTGCTGACTCCAGATTTCACACATACAAAATTCTAGTAATGTGCTGTGTACAGACCACCTGCCTCCTGTAAAGTGACAGATACAGCATTTGAAACAAAAAGCACCAAAGAGGTTACCAGAGATGTTTCACACTGATGAAAAAAAATACCATTCATGAGCTTTTTAAAACTGAGCAACATGCAACCAAAACATATAAAAAGAAGCTAAAGTCAAGGGAAAACAGGAAAATACGGTAATACCAATACATATAACGACCCTTTAATGTACTTTCCTTAGAAATGGACAGATAGTATGGACCAAAAAAAAAAAAGGCAGGGTGGAGGGAGACAGCAAAAAAGAAAATCAACAGATCTGAATAATTTACAAGCTGGATTTAGTAAATTACATAAAACTTTATACCAAATCAATAATGTGTTTTTTTTTTCAAATGTGGCAGAACATTTTCCATGATCCCCTCCCCCCAAAACCATTCTATGGTTCATTTGGAAAAATAAACGTGCAAAAGAACCCACAACTTTTTAAGAACATAGACAGGAGGCTGTTAGTGTTGGTGAGATGGTGACCGATGGAATTGTCGAGTCCTGTGCTGTCCAGCCTGGCAGCCACCTGGCACCTGCCACCTGGGGCGGTTAGTCTGGACAGACAGGGTGGAAGTGTGAAATATTCACATGAGATTCCAAAGACTTAGTATGAAAACACTAAAATATCTTGGTATTTCTAATATCCATTACATGTTGAAATAATGGGTTAAATAAACGATTATTTTCATGTTTTTCCTTTTGAGGCTCCTAGGAAATTTTAACTACACATGTAGATTACACTGTGTTTCTATTGGACACACTGGCCTAGAAACAGACCTGGTTTTCAACTTTTGTCCACACCCTTTACGATGACCCTTGCTCAGGGAGACTTTTCCTTGTAGATCCTCGCAGAACTAAAATGTTCACTCTTTGGCCTAGATGCTACAGGTTTCTCCTTGATTTGTTTAATTTTTCAAATAAGCAAAATGATTGTCCTTGTTTCATCAGTGTTTTCCCAATTCTAAGTTCTGAAACTTCCCCACAGGCTGGTCAGTTAACCACCATGGTGCTTGTTTAGGGACATGGAATGAGGCATAATCGCGTCACATGGCACACAGAGGAGCCGTGGTTGAGAACCCGGCTTTGAGTCTCAGCTCTGCTCCACCTGCAAACCACCATCTGGTCACCCTTTTCTGTGTCCAGGATCAGACCCTGCCTCGCTGGGTTGTCATGAGGACCAAGTATTACCTGTGAAACAGCGTGGCATCTGTCAGGAAGTTCTCTGTAACTCCAGCTCAACCTTGTTTTCTCTTAAGCCTGCAATGGTTAGGTGCCACCTCTAAGCTGTACAAAGTACAGCAGCAATCTCGGAACCCAGGCTCCACGCTGACATCCTACTGGGACTGGCCCAGCAGGACCCCAAGGACCAGCGAGGGGAATACACTGGACACAAACACCTGCAGTGGGACCAGGCCGGATGCTCTAATTCCTGTGCTCAGCATCCTGCCACTCTTGCACTCCAGGCAGATCACCACATCTCTCTCCAGAGTTTAATTTCACATTGAAGCTGGCCCCTGGATGGCCCCCAAGTAATTCAAAGGTCATGTCAAGAATGTCCTCGCCCAGAGGGCCAGAGTCTGGCACAGCAGAGCAAGGAACTCCATAAACTCGTAAATCCACTCCTCCGTAAAAGCACCGAGATTACCAGCAAAATGGTCAAAAATCAATTTTCAGAATTCTGGAAATTAATCCAAGGCCCACAGCAATCTGTTTATTCAGAGTACACGTCCCCCACCACTTCCAACTCACTTTCCTTCCAATCCCAAACCCCGAAGGCCTAAGGCCCGAAACAAAGGGCAGCGCACATACTCATCCCCATGGCCTCCCCTCCCCCAATCCTGGGGGCTTTATCCAAGGATTCTGACCCCATCACTTATCACCCCAAGAGCCCAGAGGAAGCCTTTCTAGCTGGACCACCCTGGCTTTGGCCTCTGCTTGTGCACCCCACCCCCCTCCTTCCTCCCTGCCCCAGAATCATGGGGTTCCATCAAAACCCCTCCCCGGCTCCTAAAGACAGAGGCCAAACCTGTACACCAGGCTTTGTGGGCTCTCCCCAAAGTAGCATGAGGGCTCCACGCATCCTTTCCTATTCCAGTGATGAAAGCTGTACGGAAAAAAGCTTTGGCCCTGAGTATACCTCTACTTGGCCAAAGTCACACCTAATTACGGCTGGGACTCAGGGCTGTTGGCAGCTAAGACTGCATGAGAGACAGCTGTGGTCCAGGCTCTGTACCAGCAGGGGACTTTCCCCTTCCACTTCATTACCACCAGTATCTGATCCTACAGGTGGGGGGAACCAAGGCTTTTATTTTAACCACTTGGTACCCACAGCCAGGGAGCGTGGCTGCGGGTCTGTAGGAGGATGCCTTCAGTGTGGAGGACCCTCGGGCTCCCTCAGCTCTCTAGAGACCCCCCAGGGGTGAGTAAGCCAAGGGGCACCAAGGCCTGAGCCTACCTTTAAGAGGGGCCATCAAATCAAGACAGCTCTGCTCTCACATGTAAATGTAATTTTTCTATCATTCTTAGCACTACGGTACAGTAAATAACTAACTCCGTAGATTCATGATGAATGCACCTGGAGTTTGGGGAACCAGTGCTTTAAACTCAGGCCTGGCTACTGGGGACACTCACTGGAGGAAGCCAGAGGTTTGGCTGCCGCCTTGTGGGGCATTAAGAGAGAAAAGCCAGGAGGAAATTTCCGGCTACACGGTCTTCAGAGCTCCGGGTCTCCTAACGCAGGTGGGACCCAACAGCCCACCGTACTGACAACGCCCCTTCCTCGCACCCCAACCTTTTGACCATGGAAAAAATGGACTCCAAACTATGGTGTATACAATTCGAGATTTATGTAAGTTTATGAGTTTAAGTTACTTAAATTGCACAATGCTGAATGAACTCAGTCTAAAAAATAATCAAACACACACCACTGCAAGGTAATTCAATGAGCTGCTTTTTTTTTAAACAAATTTGTACAGAAAAAAAAAATCCCCGGATCATAAACTATACCGTCCAGTCACCCTGTCCGTCCGCAGGAGGCTGCGGGAGCCCGCAGCCCAGGAGCTGGGCCGGGCAGCAGTCCCCTGCAGGAGTAACTTCGGCTCAAGGTGACATGGGATATGGAAAATTCATGAGTTCCCTTTGTTCTCCAGTGTATCTTGTACAAAATATTACATTCTTTAAACATATTTACAGAGTTTGCACAAATAGAAAATGGTTACAAATTACAACCAGGCTTGGCAAGATGACAGTTCCCCTCCCCCACTGCCCGAGGCCAGAGGTATGACTGCTTTGTATTTACATCTGCATTAAAAAGTCTGCCTTCAGGAGACCTAGATGGAGTTTACAAAAAAAGGTTAAAGGTCATAAATTCAGTCGTAAGCTGTACAAGGGATCGATACCAATTAAGTCAGTTCATGTCTTGCTCCCTGAAGAAAGATTCTGAAAGTAAAAGAAATCCTCCCCAAAGCGAACGACACACACGTCCCTTGGCCCATCTGCTCCGGTGGTTCGGGTTCGGGTTCGGGTTTGGGTGAAGTAGGAAGGAAGCAGGAAGAAGGGAGGGGTGGGGTGGGGAACAGGACACCTTAGTGTTGACAGTTTTTCTTCTATTTTTTTTTTCCTTCTAAACAGCCTGGAACCAGGTTAAGCAACTGGCTTGTTTCACACCATCCTATAGCTTTGAAAAGAACCCACGGTTCCTTCCTTGTCTCGGAGATGAAACATCCTGACATGACTACAGTATGGAAAAGAAAGGACTTTCTGGGGGAGGACAATGTTTGTAATTCTGATGTAAAGCCTGCCTTGAGTGCCAAGCCCAACTTCAACAGTGCAAAAAAGACTTCAGAAGTGACGTGGGGACGGTCAGAGGCTTGAGTAGTAGCTGTCCACCCACTGAGCGAGTCCTCGCTCCACCAGCGACCTGTTTATCAACACCACCTAGGAGAGAAAGTTCCCTTGAGAGCTTGGCACCGGTGCAGGCTCCCCCTCTTGCAGCCCCAGGCCACCACTGCGGGCGACAGTGCCACGAGTAATGGGGTGTGGGCATGGCTTGCTTTCTGGGCCAACAGGGGATTTACTTACAGGATCTGTTGGCATGCAGACAGGCTTTTCAATACGCTGCAGAATATAAGCTTTAGTGCCATGAGATCAAAGAGAAAACCCACATGGATAAGGTCCGGGACAGCCTGTGCTGGGGACTCTCATGTGCACAGTACGCTGTTTAGCAGCATCTCTGGCCTCTACCCACCGGATGGCACTTGCATCACCGCCCCCAACTGTGGCCACCAAAAGCCTCTCTGGACATTGGAAGGAAAAGAACAGAACTTACCTCATCTCCAATCACACTCCATAGCTGAATCAGAGGAAGGCCAGTTGGACTGTAACTCGTCACCTGAGAAAAAACAAAACAGCCCACCATGTTTACAAACTACCCCACGCATCTCTCCTTAAAGACCGCTGGCCAACCCAGATGCGAGCCACAGGGAAGCAGGCGCTGAAAGGTCGGTTCCCGAGAAGCCCAGATAGTTAAGCGAGGCTGGGAGGCACTGCGGGTGGGGGGAGGCTCGTCGGCCCGCCCCGCCTGCCACCCTCCCCGCCGCCGCACACCTGGGCCAGCAGCGCGGTGTTTCCTGTCATCTCGCTCATCGCCGCGTCCGCTTCAGGTGAGAAGTGGTCATCATCTTTAGAAGGAAAAGCAGCACTTAGACTCTCACTGAGGCCAGATGCTCTCATCGATCCCGTAACTTGCAGGTGTTTCCCAAGTGGAACACTTCACTCGCTGCCATGGACTGAAGAGCTCTATGTGGGGAGGCCTCCCTGTGACTCCAAGTGGATACACTCGGGTGCCTGCTGCCTGCCAGCCACTGGGGGACAGGAACTCTGCCTTCAATGGAAATACCACCACCACCACCACCACCACCAATCTGGGGGCCAACTGGGCTGAGCATGTTGTGTGGGGTCTCACACTGGGTCAGTAACACCATGAGATGGCAGGTGTTGTCCTCACTTTACAGGTGAGGACACGGGGACACAGGTGGATGGCCAAACGTCAACCAGCCCCCCGAGTGGTGAAGGTGGAATTCAGATCCAAGCAGAAGGCCACGCAGCCCAACTCGGGCAGTGACCAAGCGGGCGGCACTCCTCGTCAGACTACACAAGTCGTGTGCAAAGACACACCCAAGGCAAGAGGTGGCAAGGACGGGAGAGGCAGTATTAAGGTCCGGGAGCGTCTTACAAAGGAGGGCCTTCATAAGACACTTCAGCTGGGCCTGGACAGGCTGCGGAGGGAGGCCGGGCCTGGGCAGTGAAGGAAAACAGAACGAAGCCCGTGTCCAGGTTCTGGCCAGTGTGACTCCGGCTGGACTAAGGCGTTTCTGAAGCGTCCCTGGGCTTTAGTCGAACAAGAACAAGGTCAGAGAGCAAACCTGGGGCGGGAGGAGAATGGACTGAAGGACTGCAACCTCCAACCACTCCTGAGTACCGGCCATAAACAGCCGCTGGCTGACCGCCATCCTCAGCCCGTTCCTGGGCCACTGTGACTGCCTCGGCCGCCCTGAAGGACAGGTGCTGGCCCATTTTCCAAGATGGGAGCAGGGAGGCTGGAGCTAAGCAGCTTGCTCAGGGTCACACGCCAGTCCCCTCCCGCCCCCCACCCCAGCGATGGGATCACAGTCTGAGACGCCACCCAGGTGAGTGTCGGTGTGGTCCCCACAGAGCCCCAGGGGCCCAAGCACAGCTGAGCAGAGCCAGGGGCCGCAAGGCCCGCCCTCAGCCCGTGAGCGAGGACTCTGGGCCTCGACTGCGTTCTGGAAGGTGCTGTGTAGGAGGCCTCTCCAAGCTGGAGGCTGGGTAAAGTCTGGAGCAGTGGACCTGAGAGGGTGGTCCACAGACCAGCGGCACTGGCATCACCAGAGAACTTATTACAAATGCAAGTCCTCAGGCCTCAGCCCAGACCTATTCAACCAGAAACAGAGTGGCAGCAACCTGGGTTTGCTTACGTCCTGCAGGTGAGAACCAGGGTCTCAGAAAGACCTACTTTCAACCACTGCCTGCACCCCCCCCCAAGCCAGAGGCCCCTCCTGTTACCTGACAGGGGCATCACACTGTCAAGAAGGACCTCTGCTCCCTGGAACGGCAGGGTCACAAAGTCAGACCTAGGAAGGCGAGAGAGGCACAAGCTGAACAGACTGTAAGGCTGACTTGCTCCGGGCTGGTGCTCACCTTCTGGTAACGCCGTGACCTCTGTCACCCAGGGTGAAGCCCCGCCGCCGAGGCCCACAGCTCCCGGTGCGCCCGGACGCAGGCCCCGCCCTGCACCAGCCCGGCCTCAGGGGTGCTTCTCCCATCCAGCTCCCAAAGAGAAGCCTGCCTCCCTTTTGCCAAAGGACACCATCGGGAATGCTCCCCCCCGACAGGCCTTTCTGGCTCCGTCTGGCTGAGACAAGCGTGGAGTCTGTCTACATCATACTCTGCTAAAACAGAGTAGTCAGCAGCAGGGAACAAGTAACCCACGTCCCAGGTCGTGCAGGACCGAGCCAGCTCTGCAGAAATCACAGCCCCTGCCTCCACGCACCGGATCTGCCGGAGCACGTCGACCTTCACTCTCTTGTATCCCCCGTAGTCAACGTAGCGAATCTCGACTTCATTGGTCTCCTCGTAGGAGGCCACCACTTGGGCTCGCCACCAGGCACCGTCCACGCCAGGGGCAGCGCAGATGACCGTTACTGCAGGGCGGGAAGACAGCATGTGCAAACACCCGGCCTGGGCAGGGGACCAGCAAGCGCTCCCCAGAGCCCAAGACTGACCCCGGGAAGGCCCTGGACAGCCTCGCGTGTGCGCTGCCCAGACCAAAAAGGATTCATCTAGACCTGTTTCCACTGAGACTTACTGAAGCAGACGTGGACACAGGTGAATTGGAATAAACCAAGTAAACTCCAAAATTCAGGGACTGGACCAGCACTTGCCTTACATTCTTAACCGAAAGTCCCAGAAAGCATTAAGAACCTCCCAGTGCAGCAGCTCTCAGGGGCTGGTTGCTAGGACCTGCTCTGGCCCACGACAGCGCAGATCCAGGGCAGATCAGAAGAGCTGCCCAGGCCTAAACCCCACTTCTTCTGGCCTTTGCTTCAGGAAGGCACAGAGAGCACTAATGCCTGGGGCAGCCAGCCAGGCCAGAAAGCAAGTGCCCCAAGTGTCACCAACCCCACCCGGGGGCAGCAGGGGTGGGGGCCTGTGACACAGCTGGCCACACTGTGTCCTGACCCTTAAAGGCAGCCCCTGGTGCAGTCACCTCCTGGCCTCCAGTAACATCAAAGAATGTGACAAAATCCTTTTTCCTCCAAAACAAAAACCATACAAAAATGCAACAGAAATTTCAAGGGTTTTCCTAATGACTTGAAGCCCACTGAGGGCTCCAGATTAGGAGTCCCTGACAGGGTGGGTAAGAGAGATCTTCCAACATTCAATTCCTGCTAACCAGGGCAACAAAAAAAACAGCAACAGAGGGCAGGCTCGGAGTGCAGCTGGGTTCCCAATACACGTCCCGTGCAGGGACCACCTGGGCAAGTCACTGACTTCAGAGTCTTAGTTTTCTCATCTGTCGACTAGAGATGACCCAACCCAGTAGCAGGCCTGGCCAGAAGACTCAGCCCAGCACACTCCATGCCAACGGCAAGAACTCAGGGATGCCGCTCCTGTGAAGGGCCCCAGAACAGCCTCCTCCTAGTCAAGACCGAGGGCAGAATAGCAGGGAACCCCCAAAACTTCTCCCCCAGCCTGGCCAGAGTCCAGGCCCCCCGACCCCCCAGGCAGCACTTACTTTCCACTGGGGTGGGCAGAGTGGGGATTCCTGGCTGAGAATAGCAGAGGTACATCTGCTGGTCCAGGCTGCGCAGCGCATGGAAGGTCGGGTGCGTGTGCTGCTGCACGAACAGGTGCCCGGCGTTGACCTGGTTGACCACGATCACCTCCACAGTGATGCCATCTGGGAGCATGAGCTGCAGGAAGGGGAGGGGCAGTGGCCATTGCAGCAACCCTTCTGGGATGAGTCTAGGATAAGTCCAGAGGCCCCAGGGCAAGTCTCTGAACTGGCACATCTTTGAAAAAGGCACGACAACCCAAAGCGACATGGCACCCAGATGGCAGAGGTTCAAGGAGACCCATTTTAGCGTGGAAAGTGCTTGGCACCAGCATGGCCCTTGCCCTGTAATACCACAAGTAACCGCTAGAGGCAGCCTCAGCTCAGGGCTGGGCAGGGAGGCTCCCAGGAATGGCTCTGGATGTAGGGTCCCGTCTCCCACTGGCCTGGGCAGAGCTCCCCTCCCCCACCTCTTGTGGAGAGTCTGTTAAGAACCAGCAAAGGCAAAGAGGAATGAGGTGGCCACTGAGAACAAGAATAAGAAGTAGATAGCTCCTTCGGACCTGCAGCTGACCCCAGGAGCTAAGGTTTGACGGCGTCTCTCCCCTGCCTTCCTACCAGCCAGCAGTGGCCTCAGGTCAGGTCCACTGTCAAAGTCAGCCCAGTCTGAGTCATTTGCTCTTCTCTATGCTCCACAGACATCCTCCCAACTCATTCCCACTCTGGGATTTGGAATGCAGGTTTGCTCAGTGCCAGGCCCACATTAAAGGCCCTAGAAGACGCCAAGATTGGTCTCTAAAGAACTGTTCTGAAGACACTAGTTTCTCTGGGACTAAGGCAACATCTAGACGCTCTAGACACAGTAGCGTATTGACTCCACCTCCAGGCCAGGTGGCCACAAAAAGAGCCTCTGGCTGAGAGTCCTGGCCCACCCCCTCCAGGCCCCCTAGTGCTGCAGGCCGAGTGGTGCCTCCAGTCCCAGCCAGCCGCCCAGCACAGAGCGCACGGGAAGGGAGGAAGCCACATCAATCACCCAATTATCTACACATAAAGAGTGGGTCTGGGGCCCAGCCTCGTGGGGGAAACTGTAATTCAGAAGTGGAGCACTGACTGGGGTTCAGGCCACTCCCAAAGACCCACAGGAAAGGAAGAGGACATGCACCGCTTCCCCCAAAGCACAGGGTCTCTGGAGGAAGGAAGATGCAGAACCAAAGGGCCAACCATAACAAAACAAGGCCATCTCCTTGGAGCAGCACACGCACCTGACGTGTGAAATGCTTTCAGTACTGCACACAAAATTCCACTCCCAGTGGACGAGGCTCAAACTGGGCTGGAGGCACACAACACAGCAGGATGTGGGCGAGAGACCCCGCAGCCCCGGCACACACAGGCCCAAGATGTCAGCTCCACCTCCTGCCAAGCACCCAGGGATTTGGGGGCCAGGTGGGGGGATTTCGTCTCCTTTGTGATCTGGGCCCCTCCAGTGAAGAGGGAAGGGGAGGGGATCCCTCACCAGGGCCACCACAAGACCTGGCTCAACTAGAGGGAAGGAACGATGGCACAGCACAGCCCGACCAAGCCCACAACGGAGGGCCCACGCAGCCTCAGAGGTGCTGGGCTGTGACCCTGGACACAGCACCAGCTTTAAGGGGTCCCGAGCCAGTCTGCGCACACCCAGCCGGGATGGACTATAACCCTTTCTAGGTAAATGCCTTGGAAACACAAAGGCTGCCCAGGCAGCAGAGCCATGGGAGTGTGGTCCTTCCAAGAAAGCCCAAAGGCTTCCTTCCAGCACCCCGGCCCCAAGGACACAAGCCAGCAGCAGAACTGACCAGCAGAGGCCAAAGGTGAGGGCACAGGCACCTGTGCGCTTGGCCTTCCTGGCCCACAGTCTTGGGAGTTCCTGTCTGGGGCAGGCTGGGGAAAAGGCGCACAAGCAGCCCTGGCCCCCAGGAGCACGCTCACCCAGGAAGTCATTGGAAGAGAAGGCAGTGCCAGCGAAGGCAGTGGGGGAGCGTAGATGTTGGTGAGGTTCAGTTCCTTGAACTTCTTCCCAATCAAGTTCAGCGCCTTGTCTACATGATGCTGAGAGCCTAAATGGGGGGTGTGGGGGAAAAGCAGGGCACGGTCACAGGGGGCAGGACAAACAGCCAGACCAAACTCATGCACACATCACACTACATGGGACTCTTCCCCGAGGACAGGTGCATCTTTAAGGTAACAAAACGCCAAGCTCGGCCTGAGGATGAAAGGCACCTGAAGAAGCCTGAAGTCCGGGGCCTTTCAAACGAGGCCTGTCGATGTGACTATACTTTGAAAGCTACAGGAGCCCAGCAGATGGGGAGGCCCGGCCCTCACACACCATCAACCCAGGACTCCTGGCCCACCACCAAGTGCCCACACCTTTCCTGGCCACAAGGTCTGGGGTGACCCGAGTCTCCTTCAAGCACCAGAAGGGGAGATGAGGGGAAAGGGAAGACTCACCCACTCTCTCCACCCGGGGTGGGAAGCTTCAGAGACTTAAGTCCCAAAAGAGGAGCAACTGAGACTCAAATGCTTCAAGTCACTTACATCGCAGGTACGAAAACTAAACCCAGGGCAGCGGCAGACACTGACCTTCTATGTGGCAGATCTGGACGTTCTGGGTGTAAGGCAGGGTGGAGATGTAGATCTTGGCACCAGATGTCTGCTTCAGAAAACTCACGTACCGTCCCTGCTTGCCAATCAGCCGACCAACTAGGTGCTTCCAGAGAGAAAGGAAGGTGAGAGGGTTAACAGGAAACCGATTCCCTGCCTCCCTGAGACCTGCCTTTGTTTTACACCAGGTCAGACTCAAACAGATTAACTGTTAACAGATCAACACTCGCTCACCAGGCACTGTTCTAAGCGCTTACACTTACTCAGAGTGTGAAACAAATACCATCTGTTTATCACCATTTTATAGTTGAGGGAACAAGCCCAGAGAGGCTAAGTAATTTGCCCAAGCTCACACAGCTACTGAGTGGCTGAACTAAGCAGTCTGGCTCCAGTTTCCACTTCATTCCCAACAGTAGGACCCAAATTCAGACACTGTAAAGGCAGTGTTTTCTCCTGCCAGATCCATACTATGAGATGTTTCACTAGCACAAGTTTCAGTTTATAAGTCCTCCACTTCTACCAGTGTGCCAAGGTCCAAAGATGAATGGGCTGAATTTGAAAATAAAGGTCTAAGAAAGAACTCTTGGGCTCCTGCTGCGAATTGACAGCAGGCTGGAGCCTCCAGAACACAGGTGCCCAGCAGGGCCAAAGCTCAAGGCGAACAGAAGGAGCCAAACTCAGCCACAACCCAAGACCAGCTTTGAAACAGTCCCCAGTGACCCCACCCAGCAGAGCTACTAGGGACAGGGTCCCTCTGTACCCAGAGCCTCCTGCATTTGCCCTTTGCAACTTCTGAAGGAGAAGGCAGGACTGCCGTCAGGGTCACCGGGGGAAGAGACAACTGGGGGTGCCAGCGCCCCAGGTCAGAGCAGCCCGCTTGACCCAGAGTTCACACCAAGCCAAGCCTCCACCTCGGCAGGGAGCTAACAGCCCTGGGGGCATGCAGTTGGCCAATTATTTCTGAGCCCCAGAGATAAACATCAAGATCAAGCTAATAGGATGTAAGTTAGAAAAGCGAGAAGCTAGACACTTAAAACACCCTGGAATGGGGGACGAGTGAACTGACATTCACACAATGAATAATGCAGTTAAAATTACATTGTCAAAGAAGAATACAGAAAAATTAAATTGTTAAATATTTAAAAGCATTAATTAGAGCAACATAATCTCAATTTTGTTTAAAAACCACAGGGTGCAGGATGAGAAGGAAATAAAAGTCTTCCCAGTCACTCCCAGGGGTAGGATTAGAGCTGATTTTATTTTCTTCATACATTGCTATGTCTCACATCCTCCAAAACACGGATTTATGCTGTGCTCAATTATGAAACACACTTGGTGCTGGAGAGCTTGAGCGGAGCACAGTGAGGGGACTCTAGCCAGCCCCTGCCCTCAGCCTGGTTTTGCTGGCATCTCCAGACAGATCTGAGCCCGAGCACCACAGGAAAGGCTCCTGAAGAGGGAGCAGGCCTGGGAGTTTGAGGAGGATGCTCCTGAAGGCAGGTGCAGGGACTCCATTCTGCAGGAAGCTCTCTGGACCTTAGCAAAGTAGGATGCTCCCTTCCCTTCAGCCTCTGGCTCACGGTGGGGGGTTCTCCTGGTTCACTGCCCCTCCCTTGGACCCCTTCCTCCAAGGCCGATGACCCTGGGCAGGGGGCACTTAGAGCCCGCAGCCCTTACCTTTGGCACTTCAATCTCCCAGATGATGAGGTCGACCTTCTTGGGGTTGGAGCCTGCCTGGGCATTCTGGAAACCATCGGGCTTCCGGAGGCCACAGCAGCCATCCACCGAATCCATGCTGTTCCCGTCTGAACCTGCAGGGGAGGAAGCAGCACGCACAGACACCGGCCCAGAGCAGTTAATAACACTCAACTTCCAGACTCACATTCCCGGGAGGCCCCCGCCCCAGCCCCCTCCTCAAGCTTGGCAGGTGACTGTCAACTTGCAGTCTAGAAGGCTCAGAACAGCCCCAATGAAAGGAGGACTGGGGGTGTAGATACACCTAATTTTAGCCTGTCACTTACAGTCCCACTTGCTTAACTGGCAGCTGCGCCCAGCACAGCTGCTGGAGCAGAGACAAGTGGTGACCTGGGAAGAAACGGGCGCCGGCCCAGGAAGGGGAGTCCACGGGGCGGGGGAGGGGCGGGCCAGCAGGTCCCCACCGTCTCAGCAGCCGGCATCAGGTGCAGGCCTCCAGGGAGACTAACCGGCCATAACTGGTCCACACACTCCCAGCTCTGCAGCCCCTCAGATCAAAGGCTCCTGGTCCCCAAGGCCCCAGGCCTGGGCTCACAGTCAGTGGCCTTCAGCCAAGCAGAGCCAGTCCTCCCTCGCTGCTGTCCCTGACAGGGCCCTCCCTTCCCTCTGCTCAGGCCCGACTTGTGAACTCTGAACACTCTTCTGGGCTCACGGCGGGTCTTCAACCTCTGCTCAAAGATCGAGTGGAAGCTCCACCCCGAGAGGAGAGGCTGGGACACAAGACCCTGGCCCCAGTAGGGGCCATTCCACTCCCACCCGGGGGTATGCCAAGGGGACCATCACAGAAAACGGGGCCCAGACCAGCTTAAGAGAAGTGGCTCTGGCTTAAATATGGACGACTCAGTTGCCAAAAATAGAGCACTCCTGAGAGTCTACTAATTAGGTTATTTTCCACATGGTTTCCCCAAACCCTGGACATAGTCCTCTGCCAAGCAACGCACGTTCTGCCTGGATGCGGGAGTCAGGTATTACTTCCAGCTGAGAAAGAGTGACCTCAGAGTGACCTCCCACCAGCACCAGGGGCCCAGGGGAAACCACTCCTTCTGAGAGAAGCCTGCTTAGCCGGCTGGCTAGAACCAGAGGCAGGCTGGTGGGGCTTGGTTCATCCACAGCCCCCGGCCTCAGCCCGACAGGACAGGACTGGCCTGCCACCCCGGTGACCCCTAAAGGTGGCTCAGCCCGCACCAGGACTCCAGCAGGCTGCACTCCAAGGCCAGCTCCCCTCCACAGGGTGGTCCCCGGGCCACTCTAAGCTCTGACTTCCTCACTCACAAGGCACGGCTACCGTGAGAATGCGTGGAGGGCTCAAGCCTGCCGCCTGGCGCAGCTGAGCGCTCGGTGGCCAGCTCCACCAGGCCCCCACCTGCCGTCCCCCCACGCCGCCCACCACTGCGGCTGGTCCCAGCCTTTTCCTCTGCAGCCCGAAAAAGCACAGCTTTGTAGCTACTACCATCAAACTGGAGTTGGCAGGACGAAGCTGAGGGGCAAGAGGCAAAGGGAAACTCCTTTTACCGGATTTTTAACCCATTTTGAGATGTTTAAACAAAAATTTTTTAAAACATTTTAACATCCCTGAAGTTGGGTGCCTCCTCTGGTCTCTGGCCACACTCATGATTGGCAGCATCTTTTTTTTTTTTCTTTTAGAGGTACATACAAAACAGTGGTGTCACAATCCACAAACATCTTACAGGTGACAAAAACCAGCGCGTGGTACACACCACATGCTGCTGACAGAAGTAAAACTCCCAAGAAAGAGTCCCAACTTTCCCGGAGCTGAGGCTCCAGGACAAGCGAGCCGGAGACCCACAGAGGGGATTGGTGGCCTCCTGCCGTGAGATAAATGAATATACCCCAGGGAGGCTGCAAAACCAGGGTCAGGAGCTGCTGACCTGTCAGTTAGCGCTCTGAACTGTATACGCTGGGGTCAGTGCTCGGAAAAACCCAGCGGACACTTCGTTACCAAAGTGCCCCTCTTTCCCGGGGGTGGAACTGCAGCTGCACAGAAAGGAAATGGCTGAGGCTCTCTGCGAAGGACTAGGTGCCGGCAGCACGCCCCAGGGCGCGCGCCTCCCGCAGGGGCTCAAAGCTGCGGCCAGTCTCTGGGCACTTACCCCGAAAGAGCTTCTGGAGAAGGAAAGCAGGTGAAGACATGGGAACAAGCACATGATTAAAAGGAAAAAAACCATTAAAAAAAAAGCTCACCCACTCCTGGTACTCAAGGGAATTAAGGCTAAGGAGGCTTCTCCCTTCTGAAAAAACTTAAAAAGACCTATCACAAGGTTAGCTTTTAAAAGAGGGAGGGCACGCTTAGGTTAACCAATGAACCCAACTTTGAGCTGGTTCGCCCGTAAGGGCTGGGGTGGGTCCCTGGATGCTGAACCAAGTTACAGCTCCCGAGGCTTTGAGGTTCAAAGCACCTTAACTTCTCAGCTACCCACCATTCTACACTGCACCCCAACTTTCCGTAGGCCGGCTGGGACACAGCATTGAGGAGCACCATCACTGCAGCCTCTCCCGACCAAAAAAAGGGAGAACCCCTTGTCCTCTGAAGGACACCCCAGGCCCTCCTACCTCCCGAATGATCTGCTTCCGCGTCCATGGTCCATCTGTCCTCAGTCCCCAAGTCCGACAGCTCCCCCTTCAGTACCCCGTTGCTGAAGGGCACAGTACTTTCTGGCAGCGGCGGGGTGGTGGCCTTGTCCCTGGGGCTGGAGGTGGCCTCTGTACAAGAGTCTTCGAGCCCTGATGTGCTGACAGAATCTGAGCACTGCCCAGAGGAGGCTACTGAGGCGACACCCTGGCTGTTGTTGGACACGCAGGTGACACAGGCGGCCTCTCCTGCCAGGTCACCTGCCTCGCCCAATGACTCCCCGAGGGGGGCGGCTGGTGGAGGGCAGGGTGCCAGGGAGATGGGGTGTGCGGAGTTCTTTGGCTTCCTGTCCTTGGTGGGGCTGGACAGAGGGCTGGTCAGGCAGCTCACGTAGGTCTTTGGTGGTGGCAGATCCTCTGCTGGTGGGTCTGTAGAGGGGACGGCAGCCTCCACAGGGGCCCCGATTGCCTCCGACGTGGCTGCAGCTGACTCCGCGGCCTCAGCGGACTCCGCCGCCTCAGCAGCACCGTGGCCCGGGGCAGTTTCCTGGCTGGCTGGGGAACAGCCCTCCTCCTTCTGCCCTTGGAGCTGACCAGCCGAGGCCTGATACATCCGACCTGCAATCCTGCCCATCGTGGTGGCCAGCACCTCTTCCGTAGCCTCCAAGATCACTTTGGAGATGATCTGGAAGGCAGCCTGCTCGATCTTCTCATTTCTGTCCAAGGTCTCCTCTTTGCCCAGTTCCCGGGTTAAGTCCCCATCCCAGGCTCTGCCCCCTCTGACCCGGGGTGTCGGCGTCTCCAGCTCCGTGTGGGCCGACTCCACGAAGCTACTCCACAACTTCCCTACCGCGTCCTCGTCCACCGCAGGCGGGCTGCTCCTCCCCTTCTCGCCCCCTCCTCCCAAGGGAGCCAGGCTGGGTGCCCTGCTGCTCTGCAGCTCAGGGCCCTGCTCTTGGGACAACATCCCTTCTTCCAGCACATTCTCTCCCAGCACTGCATCTCCGGTGCCTTCAGGCCTGCCCGTCTCCCTGGCCTTCTCCCCAGGGCTCTGCTTCTCCGCAGGGGCTGCAGACTGGCCCTGCCACCCCCAGCCCGCTGTCCTGCCCAGCCCTGCCTCTTGCTTACACACTTCAACTGCTTCGTGGGGGAACGGAACGCCCTTCGGGGATGGCAGGGGACACTCGAGAGGAAGGGATGTGGGTTCGCCGCCCGTCAGGGCTAGTTCCACCCCTGCACTGTCCTCTTTGCATGTTCCTGGTCGAAATCGCGTGTCCATGGTGTTCGGAAGGCTGCCCGAGGACTCTGACCTCCGACGGGCCGGATGCACCCGCTTGCTCACGGTGGACTCCTTTTCCGGAGGCTGCGTGACGCTGGGGGGCGTGGATGCTACTTCAGGACAGGCGTCCTCCATGGGGGGTGGTTCCTTGGGGGCAGAGTCAGCCCTCAGCTCCACCCTGCTGGCCTCCACCTGTTTGTTGTGGCTGCTGACAGGCTCTTTTTTCCGAGAGAAAAACCACCACCAGCCGAGGAGTGCCAGCATTCCAGGCAATGCCAAGGGGAAAATTGAACGGAACTGGAAAGCCATCCTGGAGGCTGGAAGGAATTCTACCTGCGAGAACAGGAAGAGAGAGAGGGATGCTGAGAGCCAGGTAAGAGGATCCTGTACAGGAAGGACGACCACCATCAGGTTACAGCAGA